GGTACAATTATGACAGAGGGCTAATTTCCATAATAAACAAAGGACATCAAATCCAAAGAAAAAGAAAAATTCTCTAAGAAAATGGGCAAAATATATCAACAGGAAGATCACAGGGAAGAAAGTACAAATTTCCTTACTCAAAATTAAAGAAATGAAAATTAAGACAATGAAATGTTTTCAACCTATCAGTTGGCAAAAAACAAAGTTTACAAATATCTACTGTCAAGAAGTATACCTAGAAATACGCATTATGGTGTGTGCAAATATGGGCAACCTTATTTGGAAGACAATTTGGCTACCCCTATTAAATTTTATTTTATTTATTTATTTATTTTTATTTTTTTACCTATTAAATTTTAAATGTGCATACCTTTTAGTCATATATTTTTACTTCTAAGAATTCTATTCATATTTATTACAGTATTTTTTACCCAAAGATTCACGAGTAAGTGACTAATTAAATTTTATATTAACATATAGTGGAAGACTCTGAAGTTATAAATAATGTACTAGCTCTGTTTGGGCTCATATGGAAAGATACCCAAGGGTATTTTTTTCTTAAGTGAAAAAGCCTGTTGTAAAACAGTACAACTGTGTGTTTATGATTACATTTATGTTTATAAAAATTTGAAAATATATATATATGTATATACTTATAAAACATCTGAAAGGAGACAGGTGAATAATTATTAGTCGTAGCTTCTAGGGAGTGAAACCTGAGGTGGGAGAGGTAGGGTGAGAACTGATGTGTTCCACGTATACCTTTTAAGTACTTCTCAATGTTGTTTTTTTACAATGAACAAATACAGCTTTTGTAGTGGAAGGAAGGAAAGAGGGAAGGAGACAGGAGAGGAGGAAAGGGAAGGGGATGTGAGGAAGGAAGGAAAGGAAGGAAGGAAGGAAGGAAGGAAGGAAGGAAGGAAGAAAGGAAGGAAGGAAGGAAGGAAAGAGAAATGGACAGGGGGAGAGAAGGAGGGAAGAAGACAACCTTTGGAAGTAGTCAGCCTATCCATGTAATATGTAAGTTCAGAATCTTCCTTCCTCAGGTGTATGTATATCATTCTTGACCTCTGGGTAAGGAGCCAGCCCTGCCATGTTTTCTCTCACTCACTCAGCCTGCTGGCAATCCTCTGCTTCCTCTAAGACAAGAGGAAAGAGTCAAGTCAGGAAACCTAAGAGAAGAGGCTGGTTAAGGACACATAATAGAAAATAATATTGTCCAATCATATATAAAGGATGTGTATAAAAATTATGAGTCCAGGGTGCCTGGGTGACTAAGTCGGTTAAGTGTCTGCCTTCAGCTCAGGTCATGATCTTGGGGTCCTGGAATCCAGCCCCGCGCGTCAGGATCCCTGCTCCGTGGGGAGTCTGCTTCTCTCTCTCCCTCTGCCCCTCCCCCTGCTCCTGGTCTCTCTCTCAAATAAATAAAATTAAAAAATATATATATGAGACCAGTGTAACAGATTTGATGCCTACATTTGACAGTAGCTGAAATCAGAAGCAAAATAATCTTCCCTATTGGGACTTAGTGAATGACAAAACAACCTAAATTTATTCCCAAGCCTTAGCCATAGCAAGACATCCTAATATAATGGGGCTCCTGAAAATGTCCTACTTTTATATCTCTACTGTGAGTATAGTTCAGCAAAGTTGGAATTGTTCATTTTCCCTTCATTATGCTCCTGGCCATCCCAAAACCCAGCTCCCCTCTCCCAGGGTCCTCCTCCCTGAGATGGAGCTGGGTCACACAATGGCTCATTCAACAACTGTTTATCGTGTTGGAGATCATCCGTGGCGCTCACTGTGGAAAAGTGGCTCCCGCAGTATTCTTTATTCCACTGTCCCTTTAAGATGCTTCCTATGGAGCCAAAACACAGGCTTAAAGTTCTTCAGCTTTTCAGAATGTAGCAAAACGAGAACGGCAAATATCTGTCATTTACGATAAATAGTGATTGCTCTGCCTGTTACATTTCCCCTTGACGGTATTTCCATGGCCCGGCCAGTATTGCCTTGTGCACCTGTAACATTACAAAGCACCACAGGGGTTGCAAGAGAAATAAAGCATAGTTGTGCGCTCGAAGAACTTAGAGTTTTACAAATAAGTGAACAATAACTAGTGTTTAACTGATTGCTATTCTAAACACTTTGCAAGAAATATGATTTATTCCTTATGACAACCCTAGGAAGTGAGTACCATTTATTATCCCCACTGACCAAAAAGAAAACTGAGGTCAAGTGATGGCCCCAACGTCAGACTGGCAGTAAGAGGCCGACCCAAGAAGTCCGCCCACATCAGAGCCCCCACCATCAGGCTGTTTCCACTCAGGAGACAAAGAGCTGCATTACAATAAGCAGCAAGTGTTAAGTGCCCTTTAATGACATGAAATACAACAGGAATTCAGACAAAGAGTATTTCTAGGTGGAATGTTCAAGGGGCTACTCAGCAGAGGTATTTTAAGTAAGATTTTGCGGGGTAGAATGTGAGCAATGGATTGCAAGCCGCGTAGGTAAAAGCTTTCAACATACAGAAACTGAGGGCCTAGCATGAGGTCTAACTGAATTTGTTCTACTCTCATTAAATTGTTTATCCTATCTGGTTGCATTATTTTAGCTGCAAATATAAACAAGGTCTACATGTGAACTGGGTTAGTTTTTTAGGAAATCCAAATAACAAAATCATAAGGAAAAGACATGTATGTTTCATTGTTTTCTTTTTCTAGATACTCCTCGATGGGGATGTAAAGGTAAACTATAGAATAATATATGATAACTGGGATATAATTACATATATAGAGATACACAGATGGGGCAGGTGCAAAGCTACTCATGCTCATGGGGTCTGTATAACCATATACATAAACACTATACACATATACACTATTATATATATATATATATATATATTTCACCTAGTTCATTGGCCTCGTTTTCCAGATAGGAAAGCCCCCCCTTGGAAACAGTCACGCATCCTACCTCTTTTCATATGGTGCATTAGCTGGCACAGATCTCAGCTCAAAACACTACACTTCTAGTCTGCTGCTCAGCATAGTCACTGTGTTAGTTTGGGAGGTAGTTTTCTTACTCTATTTAACGCCAACACCAGAGAACTCAAATTAGGAAAGTTTCTCCATGCACCTCAGCAAGGAACGAAAGCAGGGTACTTAGGGCATCAACCTCACTGGAAGCACAATCCTTGGCCCTTTATTTCCCTATTTTCCCCTTTGAGACCACTTTTTCCACTGTGCCCAGAAGGGTAATCAAGGAAATAATGAGACAACTGGGGTCACAGTCAACAGATGCCAGATGTCTAGACATTTCCATTTTCAACCATGCAACAAATCTCCAACAAATCTAGTTTATCTTCACTAAAATGTCGTTTTAACTTTTGTTCGTTAGGGTTTGGTAACTGGAAGGAAAAAAAAAAACCAAACTGAAAATACCAGGGTGCTGTTCACTCTGCAGGGAAGACAGAGCTAAGCCAGTTTTGTGCTTGGTTCCGTAAACAGATGCTTGTGTTGTTGTCTATTTGGGGCTTTGCTCACAGTATTTAGCCAGCAGTCTAATTGTTGTACACAGTGGTAGAGCGGCCTGGGGAAGCATAGGCTCCCAAGTTGAATCTATGTTCTCAGGAACATGCTAATTGGTAACTTTCTGGAAAATACACAGTAGTTACTCTTGGCTTATTATTTTACAACCTATTAAGAATCTAGAACCAACCCTTTGCATTTTGTGCTTGGAGGGATATTGCTTTGTCTTTTCCCCACTGAATACATTTTTATGACAAGGCAGCTTGGCCAGGTTGTGGGCAATGAGGACTCACCAAGTAATATTCCATAAAAGTGGGTAAGACCCTACTGCGTCTCTCACCAACCAGCTACCCTCTGCCCAACCACCGCCCCCAGTTGAGGCTGCTCTAGAAGTATGGCTTGATCCTACGAAACTAGGGCCAGAAGACATAACTTGAGGATCTGGGGGGGGCTTCCATAAATGCTGTTTCTAGGGAAGGAACAAAGAGGAGCAGAAACAGCTGTTCGTGGGATTCTCCTCTGAGGCCTAGATTTGAAATGAGATACTGAATCATCTCAACCTAAGGTAGCTTCTTTAGTCAATTAACAACTCCAGAGGCATGAGGTTACAATTAAATTTACCTCCCAGTTTGGGATAGTATAGCCAAATTAGTAAGGAAACCTATTATAATGGAATGGCTTTGGTGACTTCTTCTGTAGATAGATACATACATACATACATAGAAGGAAGGAAGGAAGCAGTAGATAGATGATATGGATAGATAATATATATACGGCTGTATCTAATTAGTCATGTTCTTGGCAATAAGAGAAAGAAAAGAGTGAGAAATGGGGCAATCTTTTCAGTAAATAATATGCATGTTGAGTGACATGTCAACATTGGTTTCAATTACTCTTTAAAAGGAAAAGAAATTAAGTGCATTAGCCAACGGTGCGGGGCGGGGGGGAGGATATTCCATTTAAGTCAAAAGTAAGCCAATCACCTGAAAACAGGATGCATATCCCCAAAAAAACAGAAAAGCATTTTTAAAAGGAGAGAGGGGACAATCCAGTTCTGCTCAGTCTTGGAAAACACAGAACCAAATTCATGATTATTATTAGAATCACTGTAACAACAGCTAGTGTTTCTTGAGGATTTACTTAAGGGCTAAGCATGCTTACAAGTACTCAACACAGAGTGCCTCGTTTAACTCTTTGACCACCAGAACAGTCACCTAGGCTAAAACAGAATAATAAGGGTTGCTTTCTCCAGCAAAGGGGATGCTGATTTGAAGGACCCCAACAAGTGAAAGAGTGATGAGACACGGTAGAGCTGGTACAGAGGGCTGTTTGATGCTTTGTGAAAGTCTGAATATGCAACTTAGATTTCCATCACATGTACACATTTATAAGTTGGGTGAGTCCATCTGCTTTAATGAAATGTATATTCAACCATCGGGTTATAGAAATTTCAAAGATTTTATTTTTTGACAGGATGCCTGCCGTTTTTCTCTCTTGACTCCCGCTTGTTTTATTCATTTTGGGGTAGTTGCCAATTAGACCCAATTGGTAAGTATAATTAATGGACAACATGAATCTCCTCTTAAACCCCAACCAAGAAAATTAACCATAAAACCATTCGTTTCCTTTAAAAATTCCTAACGCTCTCTCTACCTATGACTGCTGCTTATCTCTTTCTAAGACTTCCAGCCACATCGGAGATTAGTTGCTTGCTATTATTTCTCATCCTAAAATCCGACATAAGAATAAGACAGGGAGGAGGGAGATAAGCATTTCTTGAGGCCCTGGTATGTTCCAGGCACTATGCTAGGCATTCATATGTACTGTCTCTTAATACTCACAGCAACCCTTCAAGTTAGGGCTTATTATCTTCCTTTTATATAGTTGATGACACAGCATTACAGAGTATTTAAGCCCTTGTTCTAAATCCAGTTAGTGGCACAGCATGGAACAAGCCAGGCTGATGTGACTCCAGAACGCTTGCTCCTTTCACCCCACATAAGGAAGCCTTATATCATTCAAAAAGACACTTCCCTAAAATCTTGTTACCTTGGAGGGTTTGGGGGTCATTACTTCATTCAACAACTATTTGAACACAAACTCCATGTCACACACGGGTTGGACATTGGTTCATTTGGAATTCATCAGCAACAGAACTTTGGGCAGAGGACAGTGCTTAGTGGCAAGATGGTGGAGGAATTCACAGGAGCAACAATGAGGAGGAAATAGAGTAGGGTGATGGCATGGAGGATGGGGTGAAGAGAAACAGAAGCTCCTGATCGTGTACCCATGGCTACAGTCTTTCTTCATGTGACTCGTGGACTTCCCTTTGTCATCCTATGCCTGAGAATATATGAAGGAGGCTGGGAAGGCAAAGGGACGTTCAATTGTCATCACTGGCATCTTTTTTGATCATTGCACCATCTTCAAATGCATTGGGGTAACCATGACATGAAAATTTCCATCATTGAGCCCATAACTGTTCCATGAGATCAGTAACAGTTCCGTGGATTAAGGGTCATAGCAGAACTTCATCCAGGGAGACCTGGAAGTAAGAAATAATGAATTTATATTCCCATAGACTGACAGCCCTGGGTTCAAACCACATGATTTGAAAAGGATGTTAAACTTCCTCTGGGTGGGTTACATGTATATCAGGGACATTTCATTGCCTTCTGTGGATGCTCTAACCTGTTTGGACTTTCTACTACCTGTAGACTCAACCGATCAAGTAAAAGACCATACAAAATACAAATATCAAATTCATGATCCGTTAACTTTGGACTCTAATGACCAGCCATTTCTCAGAGGCTCTCAGCTGAACATGTTGTTTGCAGTTTTCCCTACCTTTTAAAGAATTTTCCTTCTAAAAAGAATAGGTTGTGCGACGAAGACAATGCAGTGTAAACATCTGCCCTCTCTTCATCTTTTGAAATGGCCTGATACAAGTTGGCTGTCACTGAAATGTTTGTCATGCTTGGTACTAAAAAGTCACTTTGTCAATCAAGACAGTAATGGAGTCAAACGAATAGTGTTGGGGGAGTAGAACTAACGTTAGCGAAACCTGTTTCTAGGTAGCTGCCTATCTTGTTTATCTGACTTACTTTCCAGTTCAAGCTAGGAGCCTTTTCTCTGTTGGGAACGCGCTTCTTTATGCATTAGAATGACTTGTTCAGGGACTGGGGCAGCTCCTGTAAACAGTCCACCATTCCATTCCGGTAAGATCTCCTAGGTGCTTTTACATTCAGGGAAGCACGCTGAGATATCTCTTTTCAGATTCGAAAGATTTGTGTTGCAAATAGTTGGCATTTTGGTCTCAATGTCAGCAAAATCTGCTGTTGTTGGTCAGATCTAATAGGTTACTCTCATGATAACATAGACCTTCTTAATGCGACCCAACCTCTTTCTGGTTTCACTGTTAAAGGAGTGTCTTTCCATATCTTTTCACCTGTTGTTTTTCTAGTTTCTCCTTCCATCATGCATGTGGATCTTCTGCTCCACCCATTCCAAGCTACTTGCAGTTTCCTATAAATGACATAGTGACATACCTCGTCAGATGTGTATTCCTCCTGTTTTGACATTTGCTGAAATTGCAACCTCTTCCAACTCTAGTTATTGACAGAAAGCTACATTCCAAGCCTCATCTTCAAAATCTTCTCTTCTGTGGAATCTTATCATAACACACACACGCGCGTGCGTGCACGCACGCACACTGTGATTCTTGTAGGCTCAATTATTTGCCCCATAACTCCTGTTGCCACAGTGCCCTGTGTAAGTCTCTGTGTAAGAGGCTCTGTCTCACAGTGCCCTGTGTAAGTCTCTGTGTAAGAGGCTCTGTCTCTTCCGGCAGAGTGCTTATCTGTCTGCCTGCACCGTCCCCTCCGTCACCTGTAGATTGTGAGCTCCTTGCGAGCAGAGCCTGAGTCCTACTCATCTTTGTCATCCGGCAACCCTAGCACAGTGCCTGGTATGTGCAGGTAGGTGCTCAATAAATGTTTATTGTAAACATCAATCCATGTTTTTCTGGCCTTATTTTTAGCTCTGGTTTCCAGCCTGATATAAAAATGTAATAGAGGAGCTTAGAAGTTGAAAGCTACAAAGGAAGGACATGTAATAAAGCAATAACACAGAGACAGACTTAGGGAAGAGAAACGAATAGGAACACGAACAGGCAAAGACCATCGTGAAGACTTCCGACTGTCATGGGCATGAAAGCTTTTGTCCTAGAAATTTGGATGTGTTCCTGTTGACTCATGATTCTTGTTAAATCGTTGCCATCATACGAGCTCAGAGAGTTGAAGGATGTGTAATTTTTGTAGCAGGCTATGCCATGGTGGCTTCATTATTTCCATTTGCACAGAAAAAGAAGTAAGTATTGATTTTCCCCCACTTATTTAAAGTGATAATTGCCCATGGCTGCTTTTCAGTCTAGATTAGGATCAACCATTCAGTAGAAATGCATAGCTAACTTTAGAAAGTTAGGCAAACATGAAATAAATGGCAGAACTTGTGCTGACCGAGTACTTTTCTGCCATAATCAACGATTTTACAGTGGGATATATTTAGAGAGAATAAGGTATCTCATTCTCTAGGGGTCTAAAAAAAAAAAAGTGGGCTGAGATTTTAATTTGCTTGTAAGGCTAGGGAATTTGTCATAGGACCCCTCCAAGCCCCTTCCCAGAATTTAAAATAATATTCTTCTCCCTTCAAATATTATTTGGATCATTTCAAACCATTGAAACTGATGGCTAGGGAAGTGAAGTCGATTTCAGATAGGCTTGAAAAGTGACCAGAAATAGGGCTCCCAAGGTGTTGGTAATAAAATTGTCAGATATTGTGACAGAATACAAATCTTTTAACCTTGAACCCTCAGCAAAAGATATTAACCCCTAAGGAAGAGAAAAAAAAAAAAGAGGAAAATAGAGATGTTATGCCCTAATACCAGCCAAATAGGCAAACAGTTGATTTTTTTTCTTTTCTTTTTTGGCATCCAGAGCTGAAACAAAAAAGCAGCTCTTCCCCTCAATGAACAGGCTGTCCCTGTTCCACAAGGATGCCAGATTTCAAAAGCTGCGTGGAGTTCCACATGCCACGGCCCTGCAGGGAAACACTGAGGTCCTAAATCTCAGGCAGAGGAATCAACAGCGCTTGTTGGCTAATGAGCCTTGGCATCTTGGCATCCACATGGGGTTCTGTGGGCAATTCCTGCTGGAGCGAGGGAGGATGAAAAAAAAAAAACAGGTGCGCCTTTGCTCAACGGGGGGCGTGAGGACTGAAGAGTCAGCTTTTCTGGTCATCAAACAAATCTGAGCTGAACCTCTCCTCATTAGCAGCATTTCTTCCACATAGGAAGTAAGGACTGGCTCGGGTGCATATCAGAATTTATTAGGAAATCATGGGGGAGATTCTGAAAGAGACAATTAAGCATGGTGTGCCCACATCAGGAGTTGGGGGAGAGATAGAAAGTTCTCCTCACCCTTGTATTTCTGTCCCTGGACTCAGTTTTCATGGCATGCACCGAGCAGGATTTGTCTTGTTCTGTCGACTTACTTCTTTCCATTATTCAAGTAATAAGAACTGTGGTAGTGAGTATGAATTATGGTTCATAAACTTAGGCATGTAGGAAATGTCATGTAATAAAAATTTTCCTTAATTCAAATAAATCCAATTCCAAGCCCTCTTTCCATCTAGTTTTGGTGAATTCAATCTCAGTCTTTATTAGGTCTCTCTCTCCTTCCCCCTCTCATGCTCTCTCTCTCTCCCCTCTCTCTGCCCCCCTCCCACCTCTCCCCTTCTCCCTCCCTCCTTTCCCGTCTTCTCCCTCTCTCTCCCCCTGCCTGCTCTCTCTCTCAGGCTGATAGCGTACCTGGGAAATTGGGAAGGGGCCTCGTACTTTCCCTCAGCCAAGGTAACCATTGCTGCCATAACTGCCCCAGCCCATGTGGTCCCTCCCAGACCAGGCAGAAGGCTTGGGAGCTCCAGTGCTGAGCAGAGTCCCAGGGTGCACCTCACAGCGAACCCCCTCAGGCCAGGTGTCCATGCTCATCGCACCCTCCTGGAGCTTGCATCTGGGTGGAAGGAAACAGGAAATAAATAAGCAAAACATATAGCGTATTACATAGTGATAAGTGTGAGGGAGATTAGAAGTAAGTCAAAAAAAGGAGTGGAGGAAGGAGCTGCAATTTTAAACAAATAGGTGAAGGCCTCGCTGGAAAGGAGACATTTGAGTGAGGACCTTAGGAAGTGAGGGAGCAAGTTATGGGACATCTTGGGGAAGACCGTTTCCGGCACAGCAATGAAAAGACCCTGAGGCAGGAATGTAGGCAACATGATTGGAGAACATCAGGAGGCCTGCGTGGCCATGTGGATGGAACAGGGAGGAGAGGAGCAGGAATGGAGTCTGGGGAAGGAACAAGGGCCAGATCCAGTGAGGACAGTAAGAACTTTGACTTCTGGGGGCGCCTGGGTGGCTTAGTCGTTAAGCGTCTGCCTTCGGCTCAGGTCATGATCCCAGGGTCCTGGGATCGAGCCCCATATCGGGCTCCCTGCTCAGCGGGAAGCCTGCTTCTCCCTCTCCCACTCCCCCTGCTTGTGTTCCTGCTCTCGCTATCTCTCTCTCTGTCAAATAAATAAATAAAATCTTAAAAAAAGAAAAAAAAGAACTTTGACTTCTGCATTCTCCCTATATGAAATAGTAGCTTGCAGAGTTTTGAGCAAAGGAATAAGTGTTCTTGTATGTTTCAACAGCATCACCTTACCTACTGAGTTGAGTAGGCTTCCCAGGGAGTGGGTGTGAAAGCAGAAACACCAGTCAAGAGACCATGGCAATAATCCAGGCAAAAGCTGGTGGTGCTTAGACTAGGGGTGGTAGCAGTTGAGGAGGTGAGAAGTATATCATTCAGGCTATAATTTGAAGGCAGAACAGGCAAGATTTACCATTAAATTAGCTACAAGTTGTGAAAAGGAAAAGATGAGTCTAGGATGACTCCAATTTGGGGGGACTGCCCAGCTAGAAGACTGTGTTGAGGCTGTGGGGATGGGAATGGCAGGTATGAGATGATATGAGGAGTTTACCTTTGGGCACGTCCGATCTGAGGCATCTCACAGCCCATGTGGCAATGTCGAGAGGAGCACAGTTGTGCGAGACTAAATTTCAGTGGAGATACTCGGTCTGGAGATGTAAATATGGAAGTTGTCCATGTGTAGCCAGTGTATGAGACCATGCTGGTGGGTGGAATCATCCAGGGAGTGTGTGAGGAGAGACAGTAGGGGACAGCAGAGGACCAAGAACTGATTCCTAAGACAGTCCATCTACCAGATGTCAGGGAAATGAGAGGGGAGCAGCAAAGATGAAGAAGGAGCAACTCACAAGGTAAGGAGAGGGAGCTGTCTGGAAGCCAAGTGAAGGACATATTTCCAAGAGGAAAGAATGGCCAACTGGGTCAAGTCAGAAGAGACGTGGGAACTGACAGTCAGGGAGGCTGTGAGTCCCTTCTTCCTGTGTCATCAGCTCCCACTTCTCCCTATCAGAGACATTTGGCTTCTCCTCTTTCTCTTCAAGACATTGGTGAGCTCAGGTTCTTAACAAAAGCCATTCAGTGAGTTCACCCTCAGGCCAGCAATGCCAACTTTCCCTGAGGAAAGACAGCCCAGTGGGCCCTTTTGGAAATAAGGAGAAAGAGAAAAAATGGAAAACAAAATGTGAATTAATTAGTAACTCAACAAATGATCATGCTACACAGAAACTTATTAGGCAAAGTACCAAGGAGAGAATACATTCAATATAGGTAAATAATATTCAGCAGTACAGTGAAACCCCTACTGAAATAGGACGAAGTGGGGAACCATTCATCTTTAAATAGTTGGTTCTAGTGGCTGAACGGCAAGACAAGTCAATATCTTCCAGTAACGGCCATGTTTTCTCAATCGTATACAACGAAACTGGCTGTCACTGCTTGGCTTACAAGGTCAGATTTCCAGCTTGGTTAGTTTCTCATTGATCATGGACATACTCAGTCTTGGCCAACTAACAGATGTTGCCTCATAGGAATCATTTTTATTACAATAGTTAGACCCAAAGGTTGGCAAACTACAGACTGTGAGCCAAATCCAGCATGCCATCTATCTTTGTAAATAAAGCTTTATTGGAACACGGCCACATCCATGCTCATTCTTCTGTGTACCATCTATGGCTGCCTTCATGCCACAGTGGCAGAGTTGAGGGCTTACAACAGAGGCTGTCTGGCCTGCAAAGCTGAAAATACTTATATCTGGCCTTTTGCAGAAAAAGTTTGCTGACTCCTAGTTTGGACTTTAAGATAGACTGCTGGAAACATAACATGGGTGTTTCAGTCCTACTCCATGGGCTCTCATCTTGAGTTACTGCAGGGGACACATCTTGGATTTCACTTCTTTTCATCGACGGAAGTCTCCTCTACTTATAGCTTAATGCTGGGGCGGTGGTTCTCAAAGTGTAGTCTGTGGACCAGCAGCAATAGGAACTTGGGAACTTGTTAGAAACGCACATTCTCAAGTCCCGCTTTAGACCTACTTAGAAGCTTTGGGTCATTCTGATGCATGCTACACTCAAAAGCCATGCGTTAGAGCAGACACTGATCAGAAGAGCTAAGAACTTGACATGGACATTTCTACACACCCCTCTCGGTGATAATTTTCAGTGCACAAACTAGTTCTTTGTACATTAGCATTAGGGTTTTAAGAACAGTTCCTAGAGGGCCACTTTCTTATATTTAACATTAGGGTCGTGCCCTTTCTAGGATGATTACTATTGCAGTCAAAGGATTCTTGGTGGCAGAGTAGGAAGAAGCCAAGTGGCTGTTTCACACAAACATGACAGAGTAGGATAATGAGTGAGTGGTTAAGGACCCAAAGTACCATTGGATGCCCCTGGGCCATGACTGTCTGCCGATTCTTCATCTCAGCACTCCAACGTGTTTAAGTGATAGAATGTAATGAGGCATTTATTTATAAGAGAGAAGAGTAGAAGTGATT